TTGCGTTTACATCGCTTATGCTCGTGGAAGATACCACCTCCGACGTTCTGATCGTCCACCACCAAAGCCACGGGTGGCAGAGGATACCAAGACACCAAAGTTATAAAGCGGACCGGCTAAGCTGGTGCGCGGCGCTGCCACTTTGTCGAGCGACCACGACGTGCCACGGTTTGTCTCCCGCTTTCGTAAAAGAAGAGGAGAGGTATTTTTTTCCCCGACGAACGGACACCTCTCCCGCGGTGTCATCCTCTGAGACGTACGGTCGTCGGGCCATGTCATTTTGACGTGGAGTCGTGGGTGCGGTTGTAATACTTCTGACACAATTCTGGTACGCCACTAGTTGCATATACGAAGAGAACAAGGATCCGAATTTACTACATAAGGTACTTTTGATTAAAAAATCGCCCCAGGTAAGAAGATCCCTTTTCATCCCTCGAGAACAAGATATTTCTTCAAGTCGCGCGGGATTACTTTACGTATACGCTACTTTGTGATAGGAACTTGATCAACCAGTTGTGCCCTGATTGGTCTTAATTAACACATTGCAAACTATAGGTGTACAAACGTAAATGAGTGATTACTGGAACGATATTTTTTTTTTTTTGCAAAGCTGTAATGCAAGGTAATATGAAGCGATTATTTTTTTTTTAAACTTCAGGTGCATATCAAGTGTAAAAATCTCTATAAAAAATAATTGGAAATTTATACTTTCCATACAAAAATTAATAATATATAAATATGAAACAGTTTAATAAAGTCAATATGTACATTTAATGATATGTATATTTTATAATTTAAGAATAAAAATTTTTTTATTTTATCTCAATTATTTTTAAAATAATATAATCTACTTCTTATTGAAATAATTTCTAAACTAAGTTTTAAATCGCCGCTTAAAACTTTTCTGTATTAATTTCAAATAAATAAATAAACTATATAAAAAATAAATAAATAAACTATATTAAAAAAATAATAATTTTTTCATAATTTTTTAATCTGTTAAAAAAATACATAAAATACATATAACACGTTCTTAATGCAATTATTTGCTGTAGTTTTTTATAATATATATTTCATTATAATATATATTGTATGATAATGAGAATAATTTATTGTGAGAAGTAATTTATTTAAATTAATTTTTAATCTTCTCGTAAAAACTGATAATGTCATCAGTATTGATTAAACATTGATCAACTAATCATTTATGGATGGGATATAATTATTCATGTCGGCTTACTTTAATTTGTTATTCTTTGAAATTTGAATAATGATTTTATATCAGTCATACATTTATAAAGTTTTTTATTAACGTTTCATTTAATGATTAATATATATATATATATATATATATATTAATCATTAAATGAAACGTTAATAAAAAACTTTATAAATGTATGACTGATATAAAATCATTATTCAAATTTCAAAGAATAACAAATTAAAGTAAGCCGACATGAATAATTATATCCCATCCATAAATGATTAGTTGATCAATGTTTAATCAATACTGATTTAACGTCGATCGGCCATTTTTCTGGTCGAGACATTTATAATTGATATAAATATATGTATACTAAATAATAGTATTGAGAATGATAAAAAAATTAAATGTTCCATTAATAGAGATATTTGTTTTAACATTTATAATATTTTTGTTATCAATCTTAAAAATAAATTCTTCATTAATGACTAATTTCGTATGATTTATTTATGACAATTGTGCTATTCTCTTTCTTGCTCTTTCTCATTTTCTCTCTAAAAAGATTTTAGAAATTAGTTTTTGTTAATAAGCTTATTACAGATTTATCGGATCATTTATACGGATTTGTACTTGGATTTGTACTTACAGTGTTCATTAGCTTAACTTTCGCTAGATTCATATTGCTCGTTTGTTTCGTAAAGATACATCTATCAAGCAAGACGCACTTGAATGAAGATCAAAGTATATACCTACTTTAACGAAAAATTCAAAGATTTCTCTCTCTCGTTTCTGCCTATTTATGCCTCTCCATTCGAATGAAAGTTTTTACATTGTCACGTATCATACAGTACTTAATGACCGTATGATAATTATATTGTGATAAAGATTCAAGCAATAACGTTGAATAATTTTTTATTATTAATATTTGTGCAATGCAGATTACTTGTATAATTAATAGGTCATTTTCATTAGTATTGTCGTTAATATTCCCTGATTTGGTTCGCGTGTAAAAGGAGAAACGCTGCGTCATGAGTTATTGGGAATTTAAATGCTTAGACTTTAATCAAGAATGCGATTTTCCCGTTATTTGTTAAAGAGCTTTCACATCCTTTCTCGATTTATCATTCACGTAAAAGAGGGAAGGTCTTGGGTCAGAATATTTTATTATTTTTCTTTACGTAAGCAGCAATTTAAATTTTTAAATACTCTAGTTCTGTCGAGAATCTTCGGTGTTGATTAATATATTAAAGATTTGATACTTGTCACAATACTTAGAAAAATTTGATCCGTCTGTTATCCTTTCAATCTTTAATGTACATATATTACAATATACGTACAATGCATTTGCTGACAATCGCTTTAATAAAAAGTGATATATCTAAAATTAGCAACTTTCCAAGAAAGCATTTTTTAAATTCTGAATTGAAACAATGTTTCAAAAGAGAGAGAGAGAGAGAGAGAGAGAGAGAGAGAGAGAGAGATTTTAAGGAAAAATGGCATAATTTCAAATAGAACGTTCGCCTACAATTACTTAATTATCGATAATATTCCTTCGCGACATCTAACACAAAAAATGTCTTTTTTTCTAAAAACAATCATTACCCTTTAGTTATAAATTGAGACAGTTACAAATGTACTTTTCTAACAAAAATATACCTAGAGTTGATTTCTTATCATTATCAAAAATAATTTTTGAATTATGTCGTTCTTTTTATCAAATAAGCGATATGCATGATGTCGATAGTAAATGATATGTTGTACCGAAATAACAATTAATTGCGCGCCGTAACTTTTACAGTCTTCAAAAATTAAAAAAAAAAAATTTCTCGGCTTTTATCTAAAGAAAAGGTTGTTCAGTAATTTTTTGCAGCTCTCTTTCTAAAAAAAAAATCTGTTTGAAATATAGCTCATTCTTTTAGACAAAGATTCATCTTTACGAAAAGATGAATCTCTTTTGTCTTTCAGCAAAACAATTACTTTGATTTCCGTTGCAAAGTGGCTCGAGAGAAGATTAACTTCTAACTATAGAGTTTTTAATTTATTCCTTCCTTAAATACACGTAGCTTCAAAATCTCAATAATTATACTATGAGTTCAATGCGAAGTCGCTCACTCAAGGAAAGTAACTTTCCTTCAAAGGATATGCTAGTTGATGGATTGTCGACTTGACAACAAGCTGCTTAGAAAAAGAAAGAAAAAAATCCATAAAGAAACAAGTGTTCACATTGGAAGTTGGAATACGTTTATTCGACATCGGGAGATAGCGGTAATAGTTTCTTCGGAGCGTGAAAGTTATGTTCCGCGGTACATACGGCGAGTGAACGACCGGATGATGTGCATCGAGGAAATAGCTATTAAGAACTAATTGCGAGCTGATGCACGTACAGCATGTTTCGTTTACTGATCGCCGCGTTGTATCGATCTCTCGAATATCTTAATATCACGCGCGTGCAAACGTAGTGATTTATTTGTTCTGTACGCATATATATTTTTTTATGTATATTTTAAAAATATATCTTTTCGGATAAAGCATCCGATCGAAAAATAATTAAAATAACAAAGCCCTCGTGTTTATTATGTCTCGTTTAAGTAAACCATACGTACATCGGAATATGTTGTATCATGCTAATTATTCCTAACAATGTGATAGTTTCTGACCGCACATATTTGTCAGATTCGCTACGTTAGTAAAAAAAAAAACGTCAGCGATAAAATTTGCATTGTGATGCAAAAATTTTGCGCTATAATGCCTTGTTGAATTTAAAAGCACCTGGGAAAAAATGATTCATATATTTCATATTTTATGTATCATTATACTATATAAAATTATATACAAATATATATTTTTGTATAAAAATTGACATATTTTATATACAATTGTATATAATTATATATAAAATATGTCCATATATGTATATATAACATTTTTTCTTGGACAGGGTTGGAAAGTAATATGTTACTTGTAACGAAGTGTTATAGTTAAAATTATTCTTTCAGTAACTTAACTTCATTCCTTTCTTTTCATTTATAATAGTAACTTAGTTACATTTTTTTTTTTAAACTAAGGTGATAGTTATTTTTGTAGTTACTTTACATTTATAGTTTATTTCAAACTTATTTATCAACATATGAGTTGTCCAAAATAAAGTGCTTAGTGAACGATCAATTATTTCTTGTGATTGGAATATATTATATTTATCCTACTATATTTATCCTATAAAATGATGACATTTCTGTAAATTAAGTTAGTAGCCTTTTAGTATGTAAACGCATCTTAATATTGATCCCAAAATTTTGAGATTCCATGTAAATATATATTAATTTATTATAATAAATAATATAGCTTATAATATTCAGCATAATCAGTAAAATGGTTTAATAATGTTATAAATATTTTTGTATTTAAATAAGAATGCAAAAAATTAACAGAAAAGTAACTAAAAATTACGACTTATTATTTTTTAAGTAACTATATTATAATTATATAATGTGTTCCTTTTCAGAATCGGTAATGTGTAACGGAGTAATAGTTACTTTTCAAGAGAAAAAACTATAATTGTAACTTGTTATTTTTTACAAACTTAACTTTAAACTTTTCCAGTGACTTTTCCAATCTTGCTTAAAAACCTTGATCAAAGCAATTCTAAAAATAAAGCATTAAATTATTTGATAAAATAATAGACACATCGACTGCTTATAACATCAATAGAAATATTTGCAATTAAAATGATTTGACGTAACTTTTTGTAATGCGTAAATGTAAATGCAAGTTTATTATATTATTCTTCGTGTTATAGGCGATGGCGAATCTCATTAATTCGACAACACAATTTTTCAACGATGTGTACGACTATTATCTCTGGACTTTGTCCCTCGCAGGTAATTCATAAAAATTCTTTTTAGATATAATTTTCTATGATATCATCTATTTAATTAGTATTAAATTATCTGCTCTTTAACAAATATTGTCTGCAATATATTATCTAGTTTTTAAAGAATTTCAATTTATTTTAACTTTAACGATATAAATTTATTTCTAATATAATTATCAATTTCTAAATATTATTTATAAATTATAAAAATCGATTTAATTGTATAGAATTAAATGTTACAAATAAATAAAATACATCGTGATTTTTACAAAAAAATTTTATTCATTTGTAATAAGTTGTTAACAATTGTAACAATTGTACATTGTTAACAGCTGTATTATTACAACATTGCAAATGAATAAAAATTTTTGCATACGTACTGATTCGATTAATATGAAAGATTTGATATGTAAGATTATTTTTTTTAATCATTTCAAAATTTATTACACATTATTTCGTTACACATATATTGACAATTTATATCTAAAGTATTAAAATATTTGAAAAGTTATATGATGTAATTATGTCACTTACCGTTAACGATTTATAATTTCTTTTAGGCTTCCCCTATAAACATATATAAACATCCAAAAATATTCATAAACATGTATAATTGTATATAAAAAATTAATGCATAATTATGTATAAGCAATTTTTTTACATTTTTCCAAATTTGTTTTTTTCTAAAACAACCAATGCGAAAATTATCCCTTTAATTATTTTTTATGTTTTCACATTAGGGATGTGCGATCTCCATTAATTGAATCGAACTCTGAATCAATTTGATGATTTTCAGCGTCGAATCGATATTGATGTTATAAATTAGAATTTAACTACCAGCAAACAAGAATGGATTAAAATGGATTGAAATTTTTTTCTATCAAATATATTTTAAAAATACTTTTTTTTGGATTTAATTGGATTCAATTGGATTTAATTAGATTCAATTGAATGCAATTGGATTGAAAAACTGCATTTCCTATTCAAAATTTTGAATTGGACAATATTCACAATATGTGTTGTGTGTGTGTGTGTGTGTGTGTGTGTGTGTGTGTGTGTGTGTGCAGAAAAAGCTAATATTATTTTTAAATTGAAAAGCATAGAGATATGCTTCATGCAATTCCTATAAATGAATAAAAATGCATTCAGGATTGAAAAGCATTCATTTTAACATTCGTGAATCTATATTTCTGAAAATCTGAATCCATGCCAATTCATTTCAATCCATTCTCGTTTGCTGGGAAATCCAATGGACGTACAATGGACGTCCATGTGCTATTTAGATGTATACATTGATTATTATTATATCATATGAATTAAAGGAGTTTCTAAGTTATTTATAATTATTAATTCTATTGTTAGTTTTTATAAAATTATTCTGATTTTCAGATGAAAGATCGAGAGGATGGTTATTGGTTGATTCGCCGAAACCGACATTAATATATACAATGTTGTACCTCTTTATCGTCTGGGTGGGTCCTAAAATCATGAAGAAACGGAAAGCTTTCAAATTAACGTGGGCTTTGGTGCCCTACAATCTTGCCATGGCCTCTCTCAATGCTTATATTGCCATTCAGGTGAATATTATTTTCTATCCTTGATGATGGGAAAATATCACGGAACTTATCTTCATTTTTCTTATTTATCTCTATGTAGTCACTTTCACTTGAAAGTGGGTTTCCATCGTTTATCTGGCATCTCTATATTCTTTGCAGTTGTTTGTAGCATCCACAAGGTTACGATACAGTTACGTGTGCCAACCTATAAGGCACATCACGCGTCCCGATGAACTTCAGGTAAGAGAATTATTATAAAATAAAAAATATGGGATATTGAAGATCAGTGATCAGAAGATCCTCTATCTTTCTCCGTTATAATTTAGCTTAAAATATTTACTAAAAATAAATGTTAGTTTTCTTATTTTATCATGTTAAGAAAAGGATAATACGTAAAAAAACTTATAAGTAAAACTTTCTACTTATAATTTAAAAAAGGATTACTTTGTTAGTATATTAATATAACAAAGTATATCAAGAATGTTTAAAAAGATCGTAAAAGAAAACATGCTTAAAATAAAATAAATAACATACTAATAGAAAAAAATTTTAAGCCAAATATAAACAGTACAAATATAAGGGACAATCTTTCAGAAATTTGATATTTTTTTGTTTAGATCGCTGACGCAGTTTGGTGGTACTATTTTAGCAAACTTCTGGAATTTTGCGATACGATCTTCTTTATTTTGCGAAAGAAGGACAATCAATTGAGCTTCCTTCACGTTTATCATCACTCTACCATGTTTTCGTTATGGTGGATCGGTATTAAATGGGTACCAAGCGGATCCAGTAAGTATTTCTTTATTTCAATATTAATTCTACTATGATATTGATAATAATTATTATTTTGATAATTATATAGAATAAGCCCCCTTTCTCCGATGACCTTGATCTTGACGTATGTTGTCAAGATCATGATTCTAAGTAATCTCCAATAGATTTTTTCCATCATTTGTTATTCGTTAAAATGTTATTAACGAAATAAAGTTAAGAAATAACATCTTTTTTCTATTATTTAAAACAAAAATTCTGCTTTAAAAATAAAAGTCTTCTTTGAAAACATTTTTTTTTGTATAATATTTTTTTTTTTTCATGATTTTGTAATGACTTTAAACGAAACAAGATCCACCCCACATCCCTCTCCACCTAGAAGCAGTCGACTTTCCACGCGAAGCGAGGTCCACCCCATCTCCTCCATTGTCTACAATTTTCCATTTAAATAAAGTGAGGTGCACCATCTCCTCCACTGCCTAAAGGCGCGCGATTTTTCAGACTCGCCCCACCTCCCTGCTTAGAGGCGAAAGACTTTCTAGACAGAAAGATGTAATAGAGACCTTACTTTGCGTGGAAAATTGTGCGCTTCTAGGCAGAAGGGAGGCGAGGTGGATCTCCGTGGAAAGTTGTATGTTCCTAAGTAGGAAAAAATATAAGATATTTTATATATATATAGCAGAAGTATTAATTATTGGCAATAATAAGCTTATTTTTGGATAAACATTAATAGCATTGCAAGTATGACTAAAGTTTGTGTGATAGAAATATGTAAAAATCAATTAGTTACGCTCTGTCTCCTAGACAATTATTAAAATTTATATAAAAAAGAGGTAAAGATTTTTATATCTATATTTATGTGTACACTTGCAGCTTTCCTGCCAGCAATGGTAAACAGCTTCATTCACGTGCTGATGTACTCGTACTACGGACTCGCCGCGTTAGGTCCTTCGGTGACTAAGTATCTCTGGTGGAAGAAGTACTTGACAATCCTCCAGCTCATCCAGTTCACGACTGCTTTGGTTCTGGGAATCAATGGCATTCGATCGGGATGCGACTTCCCTCTTTGGATGCAGTACGCCCTCGTAATTTACATGCTCTCTTTCATCGTCCTGTTCGGAAACTTCTATGCCAAAGCTTATATCGCAAAGGTCAGGCGCAGTTTCGTATGTGATTTGAAACGGATTATCTCGCGCCCATATGTTTGCGTTATCAGTCTATTTATTTGCAGGGTAAACAAGTGTATGCGGAGAAACGGCTTGAGAGGCTAAGAGCCATCGAGAAGGCGTCGACAAGTACACAACTCGATGGTGCGGTCAGCAATGGAAAGATCGCGAATGGACACACGAACGGACACGTGAATGGCTACACGAAAGAAACATTCAAGAAGACCCAATGAGGCGATTCTCCTCAGGGATGTCCCTATCAGGGAGATCCAATTCACGATACTTGCGATGCACGACGAAGAAGAAATAGTCATTATAGACATTAGTCGTCGTCGGGCAGTGCGTCGTGATCAAGAAGTAGTTTAATAAAAATATAAATAAAAATGAAAAAAGGGGTAAGGGGAAAAAAGAAATGGATTTTTCGCTTAGATCTCGCACGTTATCGGGTTTGTGCTTTCGCGAGGCGAAAATTAGCACCGTGATTCCAAAGTTAACGGATCAGCATTTGTACATTCGCGGCACCATGCTGATTCTAAACTGTATATATGTATTAACGAACATTTACTGAAAAAGCGGTCTAATACCGAATGCGTTTTATAGCAATTAGCGCGATGGGCCTGCAAGAATGAGAGTTCGCACATAAATATATATGTATGAAACTGAAGTGGAAAGATTTACATATATTATATGAGGAGGTAAATATCAAAATATTGCTTTCAAGTTGTGCTCAAAGCAAATCTTTCTTTCGAGGGACAGTTATATAGATAAGATTTCAGTTTGTGAAAATAAATATTTCCCTAAATGTAGAATTATCCAGAAAAATAATCGTAACGAAAGGAGAAAAGTGCGTATGTGTGCATGTAAATAAGTAAATGGACCATCAGGGAAAAAAAGAGGAGACGAAAATGCGAAAGAAATTTGTTTTTAGGACGAATGATAAATTTGTGATGGAAGATTATCATAAGAGGATTGAAAGAGAGTTACATCTCTTAAAAAGATATAAGAACGAAATTTAATGCAACTCTTCAGTTTGTGAAATTTTTGATAACGAAATGTATGTGAGTGTATGCATATAAAAACTTCTCGATCAAACTTCGCAAGTGCTATTTCGCGAACGAGCAACAATATGAATTAATATTTAGAAGTCCCAATTCGAAAAGCCTATCACGCAGCTATATTCCTGATTGATCCGCATAGAAACGGGGAGATACGCGATACGCGGAGGTTTGCTCGCTTTCATCAAAGTATATTGCACATTTAAAACAAAGAGGATCTAATCCTCTTTGATACATAATACAGTCGACTGATTTCTATTCGTTTTCAAATTTAATAAAAAAAAAAAAAGATAATTGATTTCAAACAAAAATAATATCGATTGGCTAGAGTCTAGACGAAGATTTTTATACCGACCCTTTTTTACAACGAATAATCTAGATACCAAATGACGCGCTTTCGTCGCAATGAGAACTATAACAGCAATTTAAAAAATCATAGTAATGAAAAAAAAATGGCAAAGAACAGAAAAATGTGGCAAAAAGTGACAAAAAAACCACCGTAATTGTTCGTACGTTATAAATCATGATTAATCCGTCTTTATACAATGTACAATTTATATTCTCATATCAACAAAATTTACAAATAACAATTAGCAATTGAATAAATTACAAGATAATCATTTGCGACGATGGATTATGTTCATTTGCGCGGGGATCGTGTGTTTCCTCATAATATATTTCTCTTAGATAATTAGGTTATTCTATTATATTGTTAATGTGTTTACTTAAATACGTGTATATCATTATTATAATATGTAATGGATCATACAATTGTTATAAAAATCGCGTTGCTGCGCAATGCGTTAAAACAAAGAAATGCATTGTGTTAATTCTTTACAGCTTACGTTTATTTATCCTTTCGATAAAAAAAATCTTTCACAAAGTATTTATTAATTTTTGACTTTTAATTATTACATATCAAATATTATATATAAAATAATTGTTTTTTTATGTTCTTTTATTATATACATCTTAAAGTTAATAAAATTACTCTAAAACAAATATTTTACATAGTTAATAAGATTGCATCATATAGACATATAAAAAAAAAATCGCTGTATATTAAACCGTAATCTTTCTCGTAAAAATGGGGAAGATAAAATATTGAGGAACAATAACTTCGAACGACTAAATGTTTGAATATAAACTGAAATATGTTTAATCTTTCCTATTGTTTCCCTCTTATTTATCAGTCTAGCAATTATTTACATCACATTTTATCAGCGTAATTTGCAAACAAGACCCATTCACTCTTTAAGAAACAATTTTTTTTTTAGTTTGAGTTGTGATTAAATAATATTTACAATTATTTATTTTATTATTAGACGTGTCGATTGAAGATATTTTAAATATCTTCATCATACGAAATTATTAACCACGACTCCGTAAAATCGCTAGAGCCAACCATATCGAACATGTCTTGCCAATGTACCGTTGTATATGACAAACAAGAGCAAATTCGACTGGACCCGTGATATTGTGAACCTTCGTAGCGGCTATTTGCTCCGCCAGTTCATCAAGGGTAGTCTGACGCAGGTTCAGAAGGAAACCATGTGTGTGATAAGCTCTGTACAATTGTTTCAAGTCCCTTTTGTCCACTTGACGCGTCATATCATTCGGAATGTCGGAAACAAAGCTTCGCAAAACGTTGACTGCATGACGATTAAATATCGTTGTTAAACCAAGAGCGCTACGCCAGCCGGACAATTTGTCTCGTAAGTATTGCTCCATTTCCGATGCGCTTTCCTTTTCTTGCGCATCTTCCTCGGGTATCTGTATCACTGTTGGTTCCGACGTTTGAGCGGATCGATTGCTGATTGATGTGGCGACAGACACGAGTGGCCGCCAATCTTTGCTCATCGTCACGTTGTATCTTAAATTGTGAGGTAAAATAGACCTCTGCATATTCTCCCATATCTACAATAGCGAGACTGTTATAAAATTGTAAAATAAAAAATTAAGAGATCACGAAGTGGGAAAGGAATGTAAACTTGTGATTGGAAAAATTAATTAATTTTTTTATACTAACGCCAGAGTGATTGATCAAGCGAGATACTTTCATCAACGAACAGCGACTGTCACTCAATTTATAACGATCCCCGATCTCGGGATCCCACAGGACGATGTCGTTTTTCTCGATGCTTAAAACAAATGCGGTCCATCGGCTTATTTGTGAAGAACCTATGTCCACGAATATATGCTTTGAATAAAATGCAAATCGATACAAAAATGATAGCGTAGTTGCTCAGAAAACAAATTGATAGCAAATTATCGCCAAATTGGTATAAAAAATCTCCGCAGTAGAGTAGAGTAAAATTGGTGATACCTAATACATGTCTATGTCGACAACAAGTTTAAGTATTGCTATCAAAGCTTGCGTACGTAGACAACCGAGCAAAATTTCAGTCAATTTTGATTTTGATTTTCATTTGTTGTCGTCAATTTGCTATCAAACTGTCAACAAGTTTTGCATGACAATTTGTCATGTTACGTCAGCGGATTTTGTTGTATATCTGCTACCAATTTACTGACTTTATTGAATATAATAGAATTTACAAATTTAGTGCCTTTTTGTCGAGAAATTTGTACTTAAGGAGGTTCTCGCGCTACTTCCTAGTCAATAGACAATTAAAAATAATGGAATAAAAAGATTACTAACAATATCTTATGTTATTATATATAATTATTGCTAATTTTATGTGTTACTAAATATTTTAAAAATGACAAAATAAAATCAAAAAGTTTAAATAAAACTTTACAAGAACAAACTTAAGTATTTACTTTATAATTATAACAATTTTTAAATTGCTGTCTTATACGCAAGTGTCTTAATTTGAAAGAGAATAATTACAGAATAAGATTATATCTTCAACTTGTAATATAAAATTCTATAAATTTAGAATTGAATATCTTCAAAATGATACAGTAAATAAAATTTTTTTCTAGATATTATTGATATTATTAATATATGTATTACACGTATATTATAGACTTGACTTATATTTCATTAAATGCGAGAACTTCCTTAACAAGCATTTAATAAAATTTGTTTTAGATAGACTTTTGGATTGTGTTTGATTTTTAAAATTCTCTGCTAGGCTAAAAATTTATAGTTCATACTACGTGCACTATAAATTTTTTGCACTGGCAATGAATTTTGAAACACAACTTCCCTACTGAAAAAATTCACGTGACAAAGTTATATAACGAAATAGAAAAATTACATGATATTAGAAATAATTTTTTATTTATCATATTATTTTATAGTTATCAAATTTTAAATAATTAAATGTTGGAAATAGAAGAAAAAGACATCATCGTATGATTTTTCAAATTGTGTAATTTTAAAAAATCACGTACTGATTTGAAACGATCCGTTACGTGATTTATATTCTTTTTGATTACATGATTTTAAAAAATCATGCACTAATTTGGAACAATCAGTTATGTGATATACTTGTTTCAATCACACGATTTCGTTATGTAACTTCGTAATGTGATTTTTTTCAGTATGGTTTGGTTAATTGCATAATAACATACCTAGCAATACATACGACTGCAAACCGAAACCTTGCAGCAATGTTGCCAGCAAAGCTGCTCTGCCATAGTGATCCACCTTGTTCACGTTTAAAGCCTGGCGCGGCGGGACCGGGCCATAGTACATTGGCAAAGACGGTAGAAGCATAGTGAGTCGTGCAGCGTCGTCGGGAGTCTCTACACCGGTTATTTTGTAAGGCATCGCCAGGCAGCGTTGGATTCCCTTTAACAAAGTATCGATGGCGTTAGCTTCCAAAGACTTGGCATTGCCGGGCTGCTCCATCTTCATCAGCACGTAGATCCGGGTGTGCGAGCGACCCGGACTGGCTTGCACGTAGCCGAACGACAATACGGGACTAAACAGAGGGGACAAAGCGACCCATCGTTCAAGCTCTTGATAATTCCTGTGACTTTCCAAAGGTATTCTCGCTTCACCAAGCCACTGCTGACCCCAGACGGGATGCTGATCGTACAGACGGAATTTTACGCAATGTTCACCGTTCTGCCTCGGCAATTCAAAGTGCATGGTCTGTTGCCAGATAGGTGCTGGCCCCTCTGCCGTCGCGGTTGTGTGAACGACGTTGCCCCATTCTACCTCCAATAGAGGAGTAACCAGCGCCGATTCCTCCCTCACTGGCACCTCCACCCCTCGCAAGATAGTGACTGCGAGAATTGTTCTCCCTATGGTGTGATGCCTGCGAGTGCTGGAGGACGGCCTGAGCGGCCGGCTAGCCTGGAACAAATTCTTCAGAGACACGTCCAGTAGGGAGAATGCTGACTGCTCGGTTACGACGATAGCTGGCGGTTCCGATTCACGCGACGACGCTTTGCGAATCACGCCGACATCCGTATTGAAAACCAGAGCCGGGTCCATCAGCAGAAAGTACTTGACATCTTTCTTGCTGGTGGAACGTGTGTGAGGTCGCAATAAGGAAAGACTGTTCTGTGGATCATTCGGATCGTTGCTCGGTCTATAAAGATAAGCATTGCTCTCCTCCAGCTCGCTGCTATCGTCTGTCGACAGAGAGATAGTGCAAACGACAGTCCCGTCGTATATTCTACCCGAGCTGTTGCTGATCGCGAAATCTATCTCTACCTTGTAGTCTCTAACGCTACGCTGGGGCAACGGTAATGGAAGCACGCAGGACATCCCGTGTCGGGCGTGCACCTGTATCGAGAGATTGTGGTATTCGGAATTTCTCATGAATAATTTGTACAGCTTCCGATTGAATGGACCGTTTGCCGTGAATACCAGCGTTCTTTTGAAAAGCAACGAGACCGAGACGATCTCGGGGATCGTCCCGGGTCGATCTTCCTCGCGTGGCGCGTGAATGCAGACGTCTCGCACCGCGATCTCGACGAGTTTCCCACGAAATCGCGGCTGTGATTCATAGTCTAGCGATTTGACGTTGTCGAGCCGATAAGGCTTGACTATCTTGTCAGTGAATGGATTCTCGGAAACGTAAAGTCCATCCTCGACCGACGTGTTTTTACTGTTCGACACTCGCACGGTTCTCTTGCTCTTCATAAGCACTTCGTTCGTTTTCTGATTGTCATCGATCACGGGATACGCGTAGCAGAGACTAAAATCTTCCTCAGTTTTGTCTTGCGAGCCTCGTGCGGATCCTGTTATAAAATCAATGTCAGAGGAAGACATGTCGCGATTATAAGAAAAAAGAAAGGATTTTTACTCCCAAGGTACACTTTAATTCCCACGTGATTTATTTACGCCTTACGGCATATGTTATTTATTATTTTACGGCAGCTGTTATTTATTATTTAACTTTTAACAATATAAAAATTTCTAAAATTGTAAACATAAAGTTCTTTATTATTGCACTGTACTTTAGTAGAACTTTTCTTTTCACTTTTGCACAATATCAAGTGTATACTTATTTTAAGTACAAAGAATATATATACTAGTTCAATTATTAAAAAAACTTCAATTATATAACAAACAGACTTATACTGTGCCTGTAATCAACGGGACCTAAATAAACGCAAATAAATGTTTGTTTTGGCGTCTTCGGTTTCCATGGCAACGATCCTTGTGACAGCTGACAGCCTGACAGCTGATAGCGTTCAATCGAACAAATAGCGACATCTCATAAAGTCGCTTCAAATGAATTTGTATAAATATGCTCCATCGATAAAAACACGTATCAACGATTGATCGAGAGAGCGGCACCGAATAATGGCAAAAAAAGGAAAAAGACACGAAAACATAACCTTTCTCATCCAGTTTGTGACAGCAGATTGATGATATTAAATGAATTAACGGACTTCATTGGTAATTGATTGTAAAGACGTTAAGTGAGCTTGAATTGCGAGAATGGACGAGGAGATGGATGCCGTGAACGAGGAAGTTTCTCCAGGAGGCTCGGACGAGGAAGAGATGGTGACGAGCGAAACGGAGGAAAAATCCGACAAGGAAGTAGTGGAGATCAAATCCAACAGCGACGATGATGACGACGAGGATGATGATGAGGATGCTAACGAGGCCGAGGTGAAAGTCCTGGAAGCTTCCTTATCGACAAACCCGTACGACTATTCCAGTCATGTAACTCTGATTAACAAATTGCACACAATGGGCGAACTTGACCGTTTGCGAGCCGCCAGGAACAATATGAGCAACTTATATCCGCTGAGCCCCGAGCTCTGGCTTGCTTGGATAAGTGACGAGATCAAGTTAGCGACTACCGATGATCAGAAGACTGAAGTAGTTAAACTATGTGAGCGAGCTGTCCAGGATTATGTATGTAAGTTTTTCCTTGATTTCCTTAAGTCATAAATTTAAAACCATTATTTGTACAGACAAGGAGATCATAATACTGTAACTGTGTATTTTTAGCTGTGGAAGTATGGTTGGAATACTTACAGTTCAGCATTGGCTACATAGGCAAGGATGAAGAGAAAGTTCGTCAACTCTTTGAACGTGCATTGGCTGTTGTTGGAATGCATGTCACAAAAGGAGCGATAATATGGGAAGCATATCGTGAATATGAGAATATATTATTTGCTTCTCTATTGCCATTGGTAAGAGATACATATTGAAGTAAATATAACAGAAACAAACTTTCCATTTGACATAATGTTTTTCTTTTTCTTATATTGTATTTATATTTACATCCTTTGTTCTATATTTATGTTTTAGGATGATGATACTGAAAAAAGAAAAAACAAGGCTCAATTGGAACGCATTGTAAGTTTATTCAAACGTCAATTATCTAATTCTCTTTTAGACATGGATAAGACATATGAGGAATATCAATCATGGTGCGCAAAATATAATACAGAAGTAGATACCTATGAGAAATCCATTTCGAAATGCTTTCAACAGAGTTCTGCTAAATTAAAGTCGTTTCTTCCTTATGAGGAGAAGCTTATCTCTGCACAAAACCAAAATGAACTACTTGACGCTTATAAAGGATATTTGTTATACATGAAACAAAATAACTCAGATCTTATTAGAATTCTATATGAGAGAGCAATAACTGATCTAAATTATTTAGAAACATCGATTTGGTTGGATTATATCGCTTATCTAGAAAATGAATCAAGACTTGAGCGCGAACTAGATCCAATTTATCAAAGAGCATCGAGGAACATTCCTTGGTGCTCAATAGTTTGGCAAAAATGGATGAGATCGTATGAGAAATGGGACAAACATATATCAGAAATACAAACGCTATTCGAGAATGCCTTGTCCGCTGGGTTTTCAACAGCAGAAGATTATCGTAATCTGTGGATTATGTATCTTGAATGTCTGCGGCGCAGACTCGATCAATATCCTGACGAAGAGAGGGATAAATATCTGGATGTTATTCGTAAAACGTTTAACAGAGCGTGTGAGCATCTGGCAAAATACTTTGGTTTGGATGGCGATCCCAATTGCGTTATCTTACAATATTGGGCAAGATTTGAAGCGATACAAGCAGATAATATGGAACAAACTAGAAGATTATGGGCTGATATTCTTTCGCAGGAGCATTCTGCAACAGCTTCTTACTGGTTGGAATACATAATTCTAGAAAAGTAATATATTTAAATATAATAATGACTTTTATATTTATAACTTAGTTCTATTTTTTTTAAGCATTTTTCTAATTTATTTATAGAAGTTACGGAGATTCAAAGCATTTAAGAAAACTGTACCAGAAAGCCTTAAGTTCCACACAAGATTGGCCAGAAAGTATAGCGAATTCGTGGATAGATTTTGAGCGTGATAAAGGAACTTTGGAGCAAATGGAGTTCTGTGAAGCAAAAACGAAGGAGAAGCTCGATAAAATTATGACAGAAAGGCAAAAAGCGCAAGATCTTTCTCAGAGTGAATTGTCCACACAAGATAAGAAAATGACGAGTAAGAGAAAGATTGATGATGGCAAGTGGAAAAATTTAGGAAGTTCCCCATCGAAAATCGTAAAAACTGATGTCCGACTGAAACCAAAATTACGAGCAAATATCTTGAATACTGATAAGAAGACAACAAATGATCAAAAGAAATCAAAACCAGAAGTCGTACCACCACCTGGTTTTAAAATGATCGAGGATGAAGATATAGATGATAAAGATAGTCAGCATGAAGTAGATGATAGTATTACAATTTTTGTCAGTAATTTAGATTACACCACGACCGAAGACGAAGTAAGAGATGTTCTAAAATCCATTGAACCGATAACGTTGTTCAGAATGATTAAAGATTACAAAGGACGTAGCAAAGGATATTGCTATATACAATTAAGTAGTACAGTACGTATATTTTAACATTTAATAAATTTGTTTAATAAACTTTAAATGAAAATGTAGCTAAGTGTGAATAAGTAAAAAAGATACTCGTTGAAATATACGCATAAATTATAATTATCATTATAATTTATCATTTAATTTCATATCTTGCCTTAAAATTTTGAAATATTAAAATAAAGACATAATTATTTAATCTACTGTTTTAGGAAGCTGTGAAAGAAGCTTTGAAATTAGATAGAACACCTATAAAAGGACGTCCTATGTTTATTTCAAAATGTGATTCTAACAAGAATACCAGAAGTTCAATATTTAAATATCGCTCTACGCTTGAAAAGAACAAACTCTTTGTTAAAGGTATGACATGTTTATCAACAAATCATATACGCGCAACAATTAATTAGAATTATTTTTTTCTGTGTTTTTCTGCGCAATCTTTTTACGTTTAATCAAATCATATATTTTCAAATTCTCTGAATAATTTTCTGGTAATATCACTCCTGCATTCAATATTATGTTTAAGGACTTCCACTTACAATGACAAAAGAAAAATTGGAAGAGATTTTTAAGGTTCATGGAGATTTAAAGGAAGTTCGCCTAGTTACTTACCGTAATGGGCACTCGAAAGGGTTGGCTTATGTTGAATATCATGACGAAGCGACCGCTGCAAAAGCTCTTTTGAGCACAGACGGTATGAAGATTCAGGACAAAGTAATCAATGTTGCGATAAGTCAACCGCCTGATCGCAAAAAAATTCAAAATCCAGAGGAAAATACAGGACAAGTAAAATCACTCGGTGGAACATCGACGAGTCGTACAGCATTTGGCGTGCCCAAGATTTTATTGTCTATGGTTCCCCGTAATGTTAAAAAGAGCAATAACGGTGGTGCAGCTCCAAATGGAAATCACACACAATCGATGAGCAATCAAGATTTTAGGATTATGTTTCTCAATAAAAAATAACTTGTATCGTACAAGTATGTTTTTTTCTCAGTCTATTAATGTCGCATTAATTTTAATAAAAACTTATATAGGCTATATTATGTAATATTAAAACTTATATGTTAGTGGTAATACTGTTACAGTGAACGGATCTGCTGTTAAAATTTATCAAATGTGCGTTGTATATTATGATATACAAGTGCTATTAAAAAGTCAAATGTGCAGTTACTACAAAATTCTGTACGTAACGTTATAAGTTAAAAAATGTATAAATTGTACTCAATTATGTATGCGTATATATTAATGCTCTACATTTTAAACTTTTTTTTTACGCATGTGTAAATGTTCTTTTTTTTTTTCTAAAAAATCTTGTGTTTTAGATGCCACGATCCATAGAGATAGATAATTATTAATTCAGTATTAGTAAATCTAAACTATTGGTACAAATCAATCTTTCTGTTTTGTATTAAAAAATTATGAAGGAAAAAATATATCACAAGATAAATAATTACATAAAATAAATACTTTTAATACACACACACATATATATATATATATATATATATATATATATATATATATATATAAAATTATTGATATTTATATACAAGAGAGAGAGAAAGAGAGAGAGAGAGAAAGAGAGAAAAAGTACGTGCTGAGTATGAAGATATATCGCTTGAAATGCAGTCTCTTCATGAGTGAATACTATGTATGCGTCTGTCACGTTTGAACGTCAGGCTAGAAGACAAAATGTACTTCGCATAACGATTCGAGTATTGATTGAATCGAAAAATTCTTCGAACTACTTTTTCTCCAGGATGCGATACTGACAATTGAGTACAATTCTACAGTTGAAGCTGCGTGTTCGATACGTGATGATGTCGTTTATGCCTCGGTGGGGCAACTGGCGGACTCTCCTGCACCAGGAGTCTCCTCGCCATGAGCCACTTTTTGGCTCTACCAGCGTGATAGTAGTACGTATAAAGCAACGCCATAGCAGCCAGCACCACCAACAGGCACGTACCAGCGATGATAACACTAAACAGCCAATATGGCCCAGATCTCGGCAACGGGCTCGTGTCTGTCGGCAATTTGTCTGTGGGTGTAGGACTGGTTGGCTGCCTTGGTGGTAACGTTACCTCGTTATCACCAATGACGATATCAGCACAGGCTCGAAATTCTTCCTGAGGCCCACATCCCACCGCTCCTAAACATCCATGTATGATTTGATGTTTGATTTGATGTATGGAAAAATTCTAGTATTTTACTTATTATATATATATATATATATATACACACACACACACACATTATAAGCAATATTTACGATCATTCTATAATTCTCTAACACATTATTTCCAGATCAATCAGATTTAGTTCTTATAATAAAAATATCACGAATTGTTAGTGTGCCAATTATTAATTCACATGGAGTAAACTAGACATGCTTTGCTTTACCAAACGAAGCCATCAAATGATGATGTTATGCAAGAAGAGTTGCAACTCTCTTGAGTCATTCTTATTATGTAGGATAAAGTAATAACACTTTCTAGCGCTCCGATAGAATCTTAATGATGTATGGCAGGATTACTGATTGTTATATATATCATACACACACACACACACACGCACGCACACGCACACACACACGTAGTTAAAATATACGAATCAAGAATATAAGGTAGAATTCACAAAAACGTTTTTAGATTATTTGCGACACGGTAAAATACTTGTTCCAGGTCTTTCATATGTGAACTCTGACCTACTTTCATTCTCTGTTGCCATTTGGCTTATTATAAATTTAGCAGACAATATATTTATTTTTTTTTTTTGAATCTATGTCTTAATTTAATAACAACGACCTTCCATGCTTCGGTAACCCATAATATGTATCTTCATTCATAGTGACGCTATATACGTATTTCGTGGTCAAATATCGAAGAGAATCGATGTACCTGTGCCGTTGCCACAGTCGCCCCAATTATTCCCGGCAATGTATCGCCATTGGAAGACGCATTGAGCGCAGGTCAGACCCTCCGGTAATTTGTAATAACCCTCGAAGACCTTGTTGCCGGGACCAGGATAATAACGGGTGGATCCATTCTCAGCATGCAGCAGGTGTTGGTCCAGACATTCCTGGGTGACCTCCTGATCACGATAGGTCATGGCGCAGGTGCGGAACTCGAAGTAGCCGTGATGGTTCGCCGTCAACTCCACACGGACCGGTATAACCGATCCGGTCCGATAACGCCGAACGATCACGCCGTTCCCATATTTGCCGCCCGTTTCATGAATACGTGGCTAAAAAATAAAATAAAATGGAATAAGTTAGAATATTTACATGTACCTTTTTCATACTTTAATACGTTATATAAAATCTTATATATACTATAATATTACATTAGTATAGGATATTTTTCTTTCAGAACTCCGTTTGCGTGTGTATGAAGCAAAGAAGAAAATAAATGCGAATATTGATAAAAGAGAAAGAAAGAAGAAAACAGATTTCACTTCCGTTTCGGGCTACTTTCGTCCATACGATATCAGACATAAGTATCAAGGCCAAGCATCCCGCATAAAAAGCCTCGCAACGAAAATGCGGTCGATTAATAGGAATTAATAGGAGACACGAGATCACGAAAGCTATGAGAGATTATAATAATAACCGCCATCATTTTCTTCTTTCGAGTTCTGTAGTCAATGCTATGCATAATCAAAGTAAAAACAAAATTCTAGGTTTATAATTTTTATGCAGTAATCCGATGATTTAATTCGCAATTAAATCCGGAATAGATCGAATTTTGTTTATCACCCTAATTTGAATGAAGTTCACTTTCGACGATCTGTAATACATGACAGAATTGGAGACAAAATTATGTATAAAATATTAATTAATTCACGCGATATGAAAAACACTTGGAGTGAATTAGAATTTGCAAAATTAAAAGATTTTGCTTTTTTTTTTCAAATGCATTTCATGATTTCATTGCGTGCTTGGATGCACGATTGTAAGGAAAACAATGTATCAATAATCGGTTCACGGTTCCGAAGCCATTCTGTTATTAAACAGCGAAGAAAGTAATTATTTCTTTCTCTCGTGTCTCGAGTCATTGCACGTCATTTAATTCAGAATAATAAACTGCACTTTGCAGCAAAGTACATTTCACTCACTTTCATTAGGGATAGAAAAGGAGAAACGAATAAGCGTCTAACAAATAGCGTCGAAAATGTTGTTAGCATAGCTACTATAGCAGCACTTCCTTCCGAACGAAAATGTCTGATGAAAGAGAAAATTTTCCCGTTGAGAATTGTAACTGTAACAATTATCGAGTCGATCGAATAATTATTTCGTTATTTATAATCATGTTATTTGTTTCATCGACTTGACATTTATCTCAAGCTATAATAGTTGCTTTCTCATCCAAATGATTTTTTTTTACTATTTAAATTTCGACATATTTTATTCATTAACATTTAGGTAAAAGATTCAATCGACACGCACAGATCTTCCACATTCATACTGCATAATTTTCAGAAACGTGTTGATATTACGGCGGTATTGTATGATATTCTACGGTCAACAGAGCGAAAAATCGCGCGTAATGGTGTGTAGTCGGTGTTGTAAGAGGGATGTCGGGAAGTAATCATACATATAGCGTAGCTGAATTATCATCGCGAATAACTTATACCTTCGCAGACTTTCCATTGTCATTACAATTAAATCTCTCTCAGATTCCCATTATTCGGCAAGGCCAATGCAGGCCGTGTCGTGTGACAAACAGCTCATCTTGAAACACAATGATGAGACATGAGACTTCTTGATACTGTATATACTTATGTGTACTAAACAGATTACAATTCTAGTCTTAGTTTTTAAACAACAACAAAATTCATATTGATGTATGTCAAATTTTAATTGCAGAATGATCTAAAGAGATTACTTTGAAACCAAATTTATATAAGAAAATTTTATGTTTTATGTTTCTCCAGTCAACACTAACTAAAAGTAATATAACATCAATGTTATAATATTCGTATTTTCAACAATACAAATATAATATAATATAATACGTGGTGTTAGCAATTAAATTTTTCGTTGAATGTGAAACTATAACATTAATTGATATTATTTTTGATGTCTAACATTCAGCATTTTCGTTTTCAGACTCACCGTTGGAGAATCCCAGGGATCGCCGCAAATGCCACATTTCCCTTTATTTCGTTGCCATTGCCTGGTAAACCCACCGCAATAGCACTCGTGATCGTTATAATCGTGAGGTGTGTCGAAGCCGTACCTCCACATGGAGGCCCTCGAGGGTGGCTCTATCAGTCTTCCATGGGCAGAAACTCTTCTTACGACTAGCAGACTTACAATTAATGTCAGACCAAGAACGAGGAAACGCATGTCGGTCATGAAACGAGCCGGCCTCTATAAAAAATCGAGTCATCAAGGTATAAGTGCCGATCGAACGATCGCAAATGCAATGCAATTGTGATGCAATTTGTATGTGTACTTGAACGTGCATTTGAATTCGAAATTTTTCTTCCATGCTGCGGATCGTTACGTATTCACATCAATGATTCACGCTACGTTAACGCGGTTCGAAGCTATGCTAATCGTTTTATCCGAATGGGAGAGAATGCCGTTTCATTTGATAATTTACTTTCATCGTTATATACATATCAATCTGTTTCATGCTCGCGTATTTAACAATTACCATTTAGCAGATTCTTTTTTATTGCTATTATTTTATTTATACACTATGTGCGCGTTCTGTACATACATACAATCGATTACATTAATGATTAATCTATTATTGTTTCAAACAAAGCAGAATTAATTCACTATTATTATTTCAAACGTTGTTAGAGGCAAAACAAAATTAATTTACTGTTATCTGTAACATTATTATTTAATAACATTATTATTTAATAGTGAAGATTACAACAATTTAATGTAGTTACGGGTGAACAATCACGTATGGAAATGACCAAGCGGAGGTTTGATGACCTCTCTCACTATTACCGAGCGTTACTCAAAAAATAACGGAGAAACGCACACGCGAATTACAATGATCAGCAACAGTCAACGCAACGTTACGTTAGAGACGCAAGAACAAGCATTCAACGAGCAGCAAACAAGGTCAAATGAAATTTTTACGTTCATTCGGAGTACTCTGTAGAGTATACTTTATGTCGTCACGTAAGCGTGAACTTTGGTACTTAATCGATATCGCTGTCTCAACGCGATCAAAGCTCAAAGGAGTCACGAAGGTGCGTAAAGTCGGCGATTTAAATGCCACATTCGAAAGCTACGCGAAAGAGAAAAAGAGACACAATGGCGAAGGAGCCACTGAACCGGTTATTACACCGACACTCCACGCGTGTAGTATCCCAGATATCGCGAGATACATATTCGTCAAGGTAAGAATCTATAGAAATATATGAATATATATATATATTCGATCAAGATAAAAACAATATGAATACATATGGTAAGATTAAAAAAGAAGATAAATTAATTCTGATCTCCCCTCCCCCCTCCCCACGCGACATTCTAGTATTAAAATTCTCGTCTCAGATTTAAATAGTCCATAGTTTTTTCATTTATGTATGTTGATTCGACTCTACGCTACTCCATCACGGAAATATTTGCAAATGCTTCAAGGCAGAAATGTAAAAGTATATCTGGAAATGTAATATTAAATATTAAATATTAAATGGATAAGAGGCCTTCCATCAAAACATCCTTAACGTGAAAATTTTTTTCTTAGATATAAATAACAATTAGTCTACTTTTTCTGGAAATATTCAATTATAAAATAAAGTCAAGATAAAAGTAGGTGACATAGAACTTAATTTTGTTAAATTTCAAATGTATCTTTAAATCTAGAAACTAGTCTTTGTCATAAAATTGCTTTCCTTGTGTATTCTCATATAAGAGAACTAGACACTTGTTATCATTTCTAACTCTAGCATTGTGGGATAATGAAAGTAAATAATAATGCGTGTACATAAAACAATAAAAAAAAGAATAAAAGAAATTCTATAGCATCTCCATAATTGTTGATGATTTAATGTATCCTTCACCGACATGTATCGATTTGAAAATTCGAAATTTACGAATTCTTCGGCTTTAATATTATATTTCCAGAAGAAAAGTGCTAATAGTTTTCGAACAATTAATGAATGAAAATAAAAGACTTCTCGAAACAAAATAACTGTACAACGGGATGTGAAAGGCATACTTTAATTTCGTGATTTAGCGAATAGCTTCTTGTCACTCAAAGAACCCTTGAGAGCAAAAACGTTTAGATCTTTAGTCATGATTTTTTAAATTTATTAATAATTTCAGATAAAATTGAGACTGTTCTCGTACTTACCTGCTCGTGTGAAAGAAGCGAAGGCCCTGCTTTCCCGTGGCACTATTCTCGCATCGGTCGCAACAGTGAGTCAGACCCGTGCGGTGAACAGGGCCCGGACCTCGGAACCGGTCGCTAGACGACTGAACCCGACTTCGACTCGGAGAACCGACCGAGCGAGCACTCTGGCCGATCGGCGGTGTGGGAGTAGGTTATTAGAACGAGGCGATCATCCACATTCGCGACACGCTTTGACACGAGGCGAGGATGATCCTGAGCAATTTGACTTTTTAACACTATCATTGAGATTGATGAATTTGAGAAGCCGTTGACGTCGCAACTTCAGTATGGATTTCTTGTTAGACGTTTGTATCAAGAATCTTTTTTACAGATATATATGTATTAGTAGGTTGTATTATAGATTGTCATGAGATTATAAATTGATTAATTTATATCTATTTATTTTAATTTTGTTTTTTACTTTTTTATCAATATATTTTAAAGATATTTTGCTCACATATATTTAGAGATTATCAAATACGACAAAGAAAGCCATAATCAGTCAAAGACCGAGTCTTAGGCTTTGGCTTAGATGTTTCAAATAATACATTATATATTCTTTATTAAATCAATTTATTTCAAAAATATTAGCCAGGATTATTTTTTGCGAAAAATATTTCCGAAGCCTCAATAATCGAGTTGACTAAGACACTCTTCCCGGAAAATTGAGATGTCCCAGGTTCATATCCTAGTGGAAGTAATATTTTTCGCAATAAGTTTCTTACTTACTTTCTTTCTTTCTTTCTTTCTAATTTAGGGGAGATTATCAGCATTTCAGAATGGTTATGTTGAAAATCCGAAAGTTATCGGTGCGCAATCATATCTGGAATAAATTGATTTAATAAAGAATATATAATTATAGTATTATTTAAAGAAACATCTAACTTTGATCGATCATAGCTTTCTTTATCGTATTTGATGTATTCACACATACAGTCGTGCTTAAAAATTTTAGAAATTATATTTGAAGATCATATCGTGCTGTGTGTATACATATAAAATATATTTAGAAATTATACATAAAATCATTCATTATTAATGTATCTTAATAATGAATTTGATTGAGATATCAGCAACAACTTACTAATTAACAAACCATAATTAATAGTGCTGCTTTCTGAAATCCAAATACCAGGGAAACTCTCTGGCATGTCCCGACATGCTCGATGGAATGTTCAGGTGAAAATCAGGTTCGACGATCGATAGCTTCCTTCCTCTGCAAGGAACCATGGAATTATAGGATAATGTTAAAGGATATTGTAAAGGCAAAAAAGGAATGGGCACTGAATATATTCTTTTCGCGCGACAAATTTGAAATATATTATTTTAGAAGACAGATCTGATTTTGATGAATTGTTGAAATATTAGCTTTTGACTAAATCTTTGAAGAAATGACAAGAGATGACATTTTTATTGGTGTACATTTTCTAGTCGAGATATCAGGAGATCAGGATTTTGCAGACTATAATTAGTATCAGTTGACACGCATCTTACGTGTGTAGGCCATTAAGCAGATAAGAATAACGACGAAGAGGCTTTTTCCATTTCTCAACGAAAGATCAGTACCTTTCACGGACTTCTCTTCCTGTCACATTGCCGCAATGAAAGCGTTTGAGCACGCAAACGCGCCCGTATACTCATGTCTCGAATTGCACTTTCACGAGACATCGCTAAAACGGGACGGAAAATATTTCCGCAGTTTGCACTATGCGACGAAGTCAGCAAAGCGGCAAGGCTGGCCAAGAGGAAGATACAAATCGGCAAAGGCGACTCTCGCTCCTTCCATAGGGTTCTCTCTTTCGGTTTCCGGTCGACAACTTGCTTGATACGCTCCTCGAACATCCGCTTCCGGCTTTTGTAGCTCTCAGAAATTTCATCACTGTGTGATGGTCCATCCAACGTTACTGGCTAAAATAGTTCTTGAGGGAGGAAGAACAGATTTGTTGTAGACAATAATTTTTAATTTTTCAAATTCTTTTGTGAATTATATTATATAATTCTAATATTATATTGAAGATCGTGATCATTTATAACTCTAATATTTATCTATGTTATTCTCATAAAATATGTAGTTATGTTTATATGGATTTATATAGAGTTTTTATATTTATGAATTATTATACTTTGGAAAAAAATGCAAATCCTGCATTATATCACCAGTAGAACTCTGTCAAGCGATACGGGATAAATATTGCAATTCGCGATTGTTCCTCCTCGCTACACAGCGCATCATTACACGCGAATTCATCGTCCCGCGCGGATTCATCTGTATCACGGAATAAGAATACTTTCTCACGAGAACAACGGAAATTGAGCGGAAAGAGCCGTCCGCTGTAACGACTAGCCGAAGTGCAAATATCCTGGAAAGAAAATAAATCGCACGGGGGCTTCTCGGCGAGATTGTCTGTTCTGTAGTGATTTCTATAAATTTCTAATTGAGCATGGTTCATCAACGACACGCTCTTCGAATATGTACATTTGATACGGGAACCAATGCGATGAACTTTTTTCTTTGCCGTTTAATCCATTTCCAATTGGAAAACTAAATCACTTTAGAAAGTCTTAGATATGTATTTTATAATTCTTCACATATTGATATAGGGAGTGCCAGCAAATTGCAATTTTAATTCTCCGACTAGTATAAAGTTGATCTCTCCTCAGTAAAAAACAGCGTAATAGTAGGTCATCAGGATTTTAATTTAAAATTTTATCATGAATTTATAATACTAAGAGCTAGAAAAAAGAAAGTAGCTGCTAATGACAACTTCCTTCGACACTTTGATTGAGGAAAAACAAATTCTAAATTAGCCAGAGGCTATAATTAAAAAGACATCCAATAATTCCGGGGCACTGCATAGAACGTGGTTAATTATAATGACAATTCATTAGAGGAAGACGGTATTCCTGTGTGGTTAGATTTGGTCAAGTTTGTGATGCACAGGTATTAATATTCATCAATCAGTCCTAATGTTGCAGGAAGAGTGCGCATTGAATGCGCATTGTGAACACCATGTCTATCGATTCTAACGCAGAGAGATTCCGCCGTAGGCGAGGGTCTACAACCTCCATTCCTATTTGAGAAGTCTTTCCTTGATCCGTGCACGGAATAACCGGTCCGTGCTCAGGTCCACCTACGAGGTCAAGTCCAGCTCACAACATCTCTCACGTATTCTCTAGAGCAAGTACATGTATATGTCTAATATAAAATATGAATGCATGCATTCAAGTTGATGAATCATATGGACGAAGCAAGGCGAACACTTTTGCTTTTCACGGTGAAAGGCTTCTAATGATTTTTTTTTCCTTTAAATATCTTTTCCCTATCTTCTTCTTCCTAAGGTAACGTTCAAAATAGTCCAAGCTCTTTGAGAAGTTCCTCTATGGCGTTAGTGTGGGAAAATGAGTAATTGGCTTTTGTTTAGTTCATCTGACCTCGTACTTGACATTTCAAGCTGCAATATCCAGTTTCCCTCGTCAGAATAAGATAGAAACTTGTAATGTTTCCTTCAGAGAAATGCATTTAATTTCATAAAATTATGTATCGCTTATCTTATTTGAATATATTATAATAATTATATTAGTATTGTAATAATACAGACAATAATGGATTTCCAGAGGATTGCTAGAGATAACAATTTATTACGTAATAATACGATAAATATCTAAAAAGATACAGTTCGTCTCTCGAATCGTAGATGTTACTATACATCGAAATTTTGAGCAATTGTATATAACATATTGGTAAATAATCAGCAATATTTTGATATTGCAGTCGTACAGTCAATTCCAGTACATAATAAACTTCAGTAGTTAAATAAAATTTGTTTAAATAAAAATTTTATAATTATATAAGTTAAAATATATAATTATAAATATAAATATGCATCTTTATAATTCTTATTGTAAAAGATATATATTTTTTACGTCAATACATATCTCGAGAATATAATATTTGTCACCTCTTCTATTCAAGAGAATTTCTATTTGAATTTCAAAATATTATAAATAAATATATTAAAGTTTTGATATCTTATATTCTTAACAGTACTGGAACTGTAACTGTAGAATTACATTCATTACATAAATGCAATTGTGATTTCACCGAATAAATTGAATAACATACTATCAAGTAAAATTAATTGTATCTATGCGTGCAACATGCAGCAAATATAATGGTTGTATGCATTATTTATTAGTGAATGTGTACAAGATATTTATTTTAGGACGCAACGTGTAAGACGATAAATAAAAATACAATAAGTATTTAAACATATTAAAAATAATATTTATCGTTATTTTTCGATTAACACTATAAGTTCATATCACAAGAAAATCATTATTTTTCTGATTATAAAAAGTAATTTTTAAATTTAAGAGAAAATGATCTTTAATAGTCGATGTATGTGTGTTTCTAAAATGAGATAATAAAATTCAATTCTGAATCTAATATAATGATATTGCAAGCACATTTTAAAGTTTGATAAAAATTAGTTTCTCTGGTTTAACTTATATAAGTTATAAGAAATCATGCAATATACACGTTGCCCCTTGTGCTTGTACAAGTACAAGATTAATTATTTGTTTTGACAAAGGCATTCATGAATCTTAGGAATGTTCTGATAAGAAGTGCATAATACGTTCAAAAAGATTTTAAACATGTGATATGTAGATTCTAAAAAGAGAAACAAATCGAGAATCCATTTCCGATGGAATGACGATTATTATTAATTGACCGAAATTTTAACACATTTTCAATGTGTTCCAGACCATTTTTCTCTTAGAACTATTCTTTACAAACATTATATATTAACATTATATATTAACAAATAACGAGCAATCTAATATTTTAACAAAATCATACATGTCAAAGGATAAAATTGAATGTATATGTATTGAAAATTGTGTGTTATATGGGAATATCTATATATCCATATTATAGAAGAGATGGCAATATGTATCAAATGAATTTGTTGTACTGAAAAATAGTGAATGGCGTATGATTTCGATCTAACAGTGCTAAACGATACATATTCTCTCTCTCTCTCTCTCTCTCTCTCTCTCTCTCTCTCTCTCTCTCTCTCTCTTTCTCTCTCTATTTTGTAATCTGTACCTAATTTCAGATAAAAGCTATAAGACAGCGTGATCATTTACATTACGATTAATAAGTGTAGTGCAAAAGTCAACTTCTCTCCCATTTTTTCAATGAATCAGGCTAGATACTTCTTGATTAATCGTAATATAAAAAGTCGATCGTAGTAGATAATATACGAGTCACTGAGTATCACAATGTTCTTTCGGTCTACATTATATAGTATTGACTTGGAGGAGTTTCCTGCAAGACACAGATCGAATGTGTAAGAAAACAGGTAAATTGACAGCAATTTTTTCTTTAAATATAGAATACCGTTGCATATGTAATCAGCATGCAACACATTTACGATTATGAAACTCAGTTACTCTGTCTGACAATTTAAGTTGCGTCGTACATTAAATTACTCAGTTTATTAATCGGTGAGATGATAGCGCTATTAAGATAGATCCGCACAGTAAATCGATTAATTAACTACTTATCAAGTATAAACAGTTACATATTACAATGTTTGATACAAGAGTTATAATGCAGAAGTATTTCCTATGAAAGAAAGAGAATATTGTTTCCGATTTGTCAAGCTTCTTGAAAATCCGTTAACAAGTTGTTACAATTTAGCGTGTATAATTGTCATATATCTAATTCCAAGATATTAAAAAATGCGCATCTACGTCTTAAGGCAATAGTGTTTCCCTTCTCTCGATTTTTCAATGCTAGTTTTATACATTTTTTCTTTCGTCCTCGTTCATTATTACATTCATTTTCTGCAAATTAGAAAATATTGAAAACACTCTGTGTATTTCAAGAAAGAACGCTAAGCGTGCTGAGAACATATAAACGTTTGTGTATATTCAGAAATCTGTGTATTGAAAGTATTTTCGAAACTTCTGTATAGTTATTTTTTTTTCAATTACATATATGTATATATGCATATCTTATTGTATAAGTTGCAGTCAGGAGGAAGTTGTTAATTTTATGCAGAGAGAAAGAAATAATTGTATTACTGTAGGCTTATTAAAGCCATATAACAAGATTAACTTTCCGCCGGTAAATAAATTTAATTTTTTTCATCAGCAATGAGGATCTTCGAGAAACAGAGTAAATTTTGTATTGTTTCGCATTATATAAAAATCTAAAAAAAAAATTCTGGTATATTTGTCAAAATGAATTTTTATCGTAGAAATATTTTATTTATTTTTTTACAGATTTAAATTTGTCTACCAAAATTCACAATCAAATATCGATACTTTTAAATTGGACAACGAAAAGATAATAAATATAATATATATTATTAAAAAAATATATATTATTGTTTGCTGATTTTGAACTTATTCACAATTTTTATCTGAATTGTATAAACACATTTTGCCTAAAAATATAAACGACAAAAATAGTCTACGTTTCTGAGTAAACATATGAAAATATTTATATATTTGCTATTTAAATAACTCTAACTTAATCTTTTTATATTATATAAAGAATAAAAATGCTAAGTGTATGTTATTAATATGTGCCAGAAAATTACAATTTCTTTCACAATAAAAGATTAATTTACTCTATATATATCATGATAATGATAAATAAAAAATTGTATTGATATAATCGATTATTGAGCCTTAATCGATATAAATGTCATATATATATGCATGTGTTGCATCATGTGTAAACTCATTATGCGTAAATATGCAATATAGACATTACTAGTAGCATCGAATAATAGAATATTATATTTTAATCATTTATATTGCTTCAGAAAGCGTAAATATCTCACTCACTCAAAGCTAAATGTGAATTCGCACAAAGATATCATGCTAAGCTTGTATTTTCTAATCTTAGAGTCACAAACTTCGATTGGTACACGAGAAAAAATAAATTTTTCATAACCATTGTCCTCAAAATGGTGTAGAAATATATATAGATAAATCTAATGATAACGGAAAATACACAAATATTACTTTTTAGCCATTCAGTTGATGCACTACTAAAAAATTTTACATCATAATTCAAAGATCAAACATATCGTTACATATTGTCTGTTATCTGTTAACGCGTCGAATAACAAACGGAGCTGTAATGTAGACAGCATGAATTCAATATGAAGTCATTTCAATATTATTCTCAACGTACCAGCGTATATATATTGGCCCCATCGCCATTTTTAAGGCAAAAGTTAAATAAGTTATTTGTCGATAATACCCTATAAGAAATGTCGATTCCATTCCTTATCTCATTTCTATTTCCAATTTTTAAAGTTTTTAACATTCAAAAACAATATACAAGAAAACAATATAACAAATATTATAATTTTAACTATTAGAAATTTGTTTGGGAAGTGATAAGATTTCTCAAATAACTGCCCGGGAAAAAATGTTTCATATATATAATTATATATAAACTTATATAAAATTATATATAATTATTAAATTGACATATTTTATATACATAATTATATATAAAATATGTTCATATATATAACATTTTTATTCGGGTGTTCTCACATCTTTGTTGTCGAATTGTGGGCCGCACCGTTTTTCTGCAATTTGCTATACGATAAGTATTAAGAATATAACAAAAAGTGAACATAATTCTCACTGGACGTGTGTGATACTTAAATTTTAATTCACATCTCGTAAAAAATATGTGTACTCTCTTGTTAATAAGTAAAAAGAAAAATATATTGGAAACTTATAATAAATTTCACTCTTATTTTAGTTGCGGTGATTTGTGTCCTACAATTTTATTGCGCAATAAATTAAAGTGTCCGTGCACCTGCGTAAGCTGAGCTCTAAGTGAATCAGAAAGCTGTTTTTTTAATCTTTCGTAACCTGATGGACAGAGTGTAATAGGCGAAGCACAGATATCTGGGAAGCACAAAATGAAAAGCGGTTTGATGATTGAGGATCCGAAAACATGACAGACAATAAAGTGCATACGAATAATTCACGAACGTGATGTCACACAGGACGTACTTAATGCTAAATGATATGGATCATCCTGGCTTCAAGCAGGAATTATCCAACGAACGGAATATAATATTGTTAATTTATTCAGTAAACTGTCACAGAGAACTGTACAGATGACATAATATGTTCATCCTTTCAGTTGTACTTTTTATATTATTTTCTCTCTATTTTTATCTATTGTTTCATGAACTTGAACTATACAAACTATTCCAGATCAAATGTCAACTTTGCTTTGACAATTCAAATTTACTTTCGCTAACAATGGCTGCGTTCAGTAGAGAAAATAGCTTTGAGACTGTTGTAAAATTCAATATAATTGGTCCTTGCTTTTGATTCCTTATAGATCAAAATATACAAATCTATTATATTGAAGAATTTATAACAGTTGCAAAGCTGCTTTCTCTGCTGAATACAGCCAATAAATAATTTTTAAACTTCAATCTATTAAGTACCCGGTTTTTCATTATCTGGTTAACTTGTGGGATTAGATTTAACTTGATGTTTTATCCAATAGACTTCATCTATCATGATATGGACAAAATCCATTGGGTGAAACATCGTATTAATCACAAGTTAACCAGGAACATTCTTTCATTATCTAACCCGAAGCTACCACAGTTAAGACTATTTTCATCTTCAGGGATCAGAAGATAGTTTTAGTGGTTGCTTCTAGTTGCATAACGAAAAAACGCCACAGATAACTGGGCCTAAAAGACTTGGAAAATTAATAATTAATCTCCTGGAGTATGATAGCCTGTATACTTATTTCGTATCGAACAAATTGAGCAAAGTACAGCTAAAAAGAATAGGCTCAATGTGATCTGATAATCGCTACTAAATTAAAGCGGAAAAGCGAACTCCTACCTCGTCTTCTGGCTCCTCAAAGGCCTTCTCGAATTCGTCTATCTGCCACGCGATCATGTCCAGCTTCCCGTCGGCTTTCTGCACCTGTGACACGAGAAAACAAAATTTGACAATGCAAGCAATGTTTGACGTTTCGTGAATGTCCAATGCTGACAATTTATATTCGTCAGATCGAAATGCAAAAATACTCACGCTTTCCTCGAGATTCCCGATCGCGGATTCCATATCACGTTCCCTCCTTCAACGTAACCAGCGCCGTTCGAGATTGAAAATAATCCTGGAGCGTCCAGCAAGATAGCCGTTCTTACACTAAGATCAACCGGGATCGATTGGCTTCTCGCGTTTGAAAAGCTCAACACAACTCGCCTTGCCACAATTCACCGGTCACTGTCGAATAGTCGCGAATAGTCGTCCGCCAGACGGCGGCAGCACCATCCGCGGCATAAAAATAATCAAAATTTCTCCGCGACTTATTGATAATACAGGCACATAAGTTATCGACCGTTAATGTTTCATTAAAATGCAGCTTTATGTTCCGTAGATAAGTTTTATTAACATCAATTATCAACATTACTTTGGATTCGAGTCACGAGATAGCATTATAAATTGACTGCCATCTCAATTTTCAACAATTTTAACCACTTCAGAGAGAGAGAGAGAGAGAGAGAGAGAGAGAGAGAGAGAGAGAGAGATCGGAACAGTCGGAGCATTTCGAAGAGAAACTGTCATCATATTATTGCAAATGTGCATTTATAAGAATTTTTATCTTTAGACTTAAAAAAAAAATAGAGATAATCCGAAACCACGATCGCTCTGGTGCATTAGTATTTAAAGAAATGTATAAATCGAATCAGGAGCCAGATATACCCGCAGCACTGGGTTTATTGTCTCATCTTGATAATGACGAGCTGAAGGAGTTATTAAATAATGATGGGAAATTCGAAGATATCGTGAAAGATATAAAACAGGTAGGATGGAGCAACGTAGAGAATACTAATTCTAATTAAATACCAAATACAGTCGAAAGAAATCTAATATTATATAATGATGTTTGAAGTTCACATTGGATTTCTAAACGTATACCTTTTCCTTTAAAAGTAAAATTCTTCGTGCTCTCATTACAATTAAATCTATAAAACATCAATTCTATAAAACATCTCAAGAATAAAGATTCATTAGAAAAATGTTAGTTCAAGGATCTTGAGACCGAAAAGGAGATGTTAATGGCTAGCAACAGATCTTTAGCTGAATTTAACTTGTCCAAGCAACCTGAACTGGAAGAAGGTAAACAAGTTTTAAAGGAATTAAGCGAACAAGCTAACCAATTGTGCTCCAGTGTCAGGGATAAAATAAATGAAATGCGTAAGTTATCCTATGTACGTATACTACTGTTCTAAATTTTGGAACATTACAATTTTTAGAGAAAAAATATTATTCTTTACAGACATTATTTTATTGAAACAATATAAACTTTTTGCAATGTTAATAAATTAAATTGATTACATTTTTTTTTCAAAATTTAAAGATGCTCCAAACTTTTGAACAATGATATATTTAATAACTTTAACAGAAAAGAAAGATTCGTTCTTAAAGTTGTATATATATATATATTTATAGGTGATAAGTCTGGTACAATGACAGTTGATACTGCACTTGATCTACTGCAAGCAGCGGCCGCTGAGATTGAAGAAGAATCGGAGGTAAACAAAATTTTCACTCGCTTGTTCAGTAAAACTATCCAACTTTTGATCCTTTTAATGTATAGGTGATAGCGCAGAAATTTCTAGCCAGTGATATTGAGGTAGACGAGTTCTTGGACCAGTTTTTGTCTCGAAGAAAATTAATGCACTTACGTAAAGTAAAGGTAGATAAGCTACGAGAGATAATAAGAAAAGGACATTCGAACAGCACTCCTGGTTATCCAATCGCTTCGAATTTCCCTGGACTAGCACCCTCCATACCATATCCAACTGGACCAGTAGCTATGCCGATGCCATTGCCAGGATTACCAGTTTATAGACCATATTAATGTGAAAAGTGTTATGTATTTATTTGTTTTTACGATTTTTCACTTACATTTCCTTGATTACAAAGTATTCGATGCTCTTTGCGTATTATGTCTTTTGCATATTAATTTTTCACTATTTTTATATTGATGACATGTTGTAAAAGTGCTGATTATTATATATACATTTAAATTCTTCGTTATTTAGCTATTGATGATAGACAATGTTTTAGTATGCTAATATTTCTAAAATATTGTCTATGCTCCATTTGAAATATCTAAAAGTTTATATGTGGATATGCATATTTGAATGCATTAACTGCATGCTATTAATAACAATTTCTATCACAATACATAGCACATTTCTTAACTATATAAAATATCTTGTTTTCTTCATCTTCTCTTCTTCATCATAATCTATTTAATGTTGTCCTTATTTTAATAACAATAAGTGGGCATAAAAATGAACTTTGTACATTCATTATAAAAACATTATTTACACAAATTAAATAAATAAACATAATTTCATTTATCTTTACTTTCTGTCTTACGTCTCTCAGATACTGGAACATCGAATTTTTCTCGAAAACCCATTATAGCAATTAATGCTACAGTTAATACAAACATGATAAATTCTATATATGGAGGAGACTTACGTGAATGAATAATTATTTCTTCTATTATTTTAATGTTCTCATATGTCTGTCTCCTGAGACGTGCTGCGTACATTTGCTTTCCATAATGTGCGTGCGTCCACGCGTCAAAATTATAAATTTTTGACGATCCTGAATAAACTTTGTCTTTGTAATCGGAAATGGGCTCCTGAGTAGTCGATACTGGTTGTCGACGTATCATTGTATTTCGATCATAAATTTTACGCTGATAATGATTGCTGAGCACTTCATAAGCGTCTGAGATATCCTGAAACTTTTGTTTGGCATATTCGCTTTTATTCTTGTCAGGATGATATTGCAGAGTTAGCTTGTAATATGCCGATTTTATTTCATTTTGAGTAGCATGTGGCGTGATATTTAATACGTCATAATGATTCTTCCTAATGTGTTGTTGCGTCGAGTAAAGTCGCGCTAATTGTGACTTTGTGGAGAGCAACATATTAAATTTAAATGAGGATTGTATGAAGGCTACAGGCATATTAAAGATTAGATCTAAAACATACAATTTATCAGTATCGACATAAATGTCATTCTACAAATACAATTTTCTTCTTTTTAAATTATATTTCCTGTTATTAGAAATTAATTCGAAACTTGCGGCCGCTATCTTGCAATCTGCTGCACATAAGTCGTAAAATTTTTCTGAAAGGATACATGTATCAATGAAAAAATTTCGTTTTTAGAAGAAAGCAATCGCCAAATTGCATATGACACTATTTTACAATCAGATAATAACATCTCTCAGTTCGATCACAGATCACTGTATTACAATTGTCTGTAGTAATAACTTACTATTTTAGATCCTACAATTCATGCTAAGGTTATGTAAGACTCATCATCCTATACTTGATGCATTGGAAGGTTAGAAACACCAACCAGTGCTGCCAGAGATCAAAAAATTAGCTCCCTATCAAAATAATAAAAAATCTCTGCAAAAAAGCAATTTTTTAATCCCGACAATAAATCCAGATCACAGTGTAATGGCTCCTGGGTCTATATTCTGTAACTATTTTACACACCTACCGACAGTGTCGTTGCGCAGCTTTTTCACCATATAAAATATCTGCGCAACGACACTGATAACTGTCGGTAGGCGTGTAAAACAGTTAGGGGCTCCGCACAATAAAAGGAACAGAGAACAGAGAATAAGAATTTCAACCTATCAGAAATTGTGTATTCCACAATACATGATTTCTGATAGGTTGAAATTCTTATTCTCTATTCTCTGTTCCTTGTTCCTTTTGTGTGGAACCCCTTACAGAATCGCGTCCCTGCACACAAAGCTGCATTTGGATTCTCATCCGAGTGCTCCTCGGAGTGTCATGGCATCCTTATGTTAATGTTCGATAAATAACTAGTGGTCTATTTTTTGTTTTTGCACTAGACTGCTCTAGAATTCTCTTCCTCGCTTTCGACAGATATCGAACATCTGTCTTTTAGAACTTAAAGTGAGATAGATAGATATCGAACATCTATCTATCTCACTTTAAGTTCTAAAAGTATTGGGTCATCTAAAAAGTATCCGCGGTTTTTTATCACTAGATGTGTGTTGATGGCCATATATCTAGTGACAAAGTCCCGCGGATCTTTTTTAGATGACCCAATACATTAATTCAGTCATAGAATACAGACTTAAGAGCTGCTGCACACAAAATTCCATAATAATATGTGTAAGGTCCAACCAATCAGAATACTGCTTTAGATTACGTAATCTAACGGAAATGGAAATAACAGTAAATTTAACTCCATAATCTCGCAATAAGATGAATTTTAACCTGTTGAAACTCGCCTTATTGCGAGATTGTGGATAAGTTTACTGTTGTTTCTATTTCCGTTAGATTACGTAATTTAAAACAGTATCCTGATTGGCTTAAGTTTATATCTTATGATTGGGTCATCTAAAAAGTATCCGCAGTTTTTTGTCACTAGATGGTGTTGATGGTCAACACATATATACTGTACGGAATTTGGTGTGCAACAGCCCGCGTGGCGGAAGTTAATGCGATAGCCAATCAACGTCTCGCTTGCTCGGAAATAATATGGCTTTTACGTGGCAAAATGTGATGCGGTAGCCAATAAGCTTACAGCTCCTAATGTGTTCATTGGTTACCTCAATTTGCCGCGCGGCAAGCATTGGGTTTCCATCAAAGCTTTTAGGCGACACACATCGACACAGCATCGGACGCGGTGCTTTTCAACGACATGTCACAACATTAAGGTACCTTTTCATGCCGACGCTCGACGCTTATTTTTGGCAAAATAAGTCACGTGATAGAAATTGACGAATATCAAGCATTAATTTTGATCACGTGATCTATTTTGACGCTGAAAATGAGCGTCGTAGCGTTCAGTGAGTGGTTGTCGTTCTGAATGGCTTTCATCCAATGGCTTTCAACAAACTCAACAGTGAGTGAATGCTCGTTGTTATTGGTGTTTTCTTTTAGAGCCTCTAATCAATATTTTAGATCTGAAAGAATACATCAGTAGTAACACTGGACTAGTTTCCATCGAGGGTTTAATCCGGATCAGAATGTAAGAACCAACCAATTACAGTCGAGTATTCCTCTGTTACAGTCGAACGACAAGGGAATGCTCGACTGTAATTGATTTTTACATTCTGATCCAGATTAAACCTTCGGTGGAAACTAGGCCACTGACATTGGACGCGTTCAAACCAGACAAAGTGGCTAGCCTGTTCATCGGCGATTAAATGTGATTGGTTGGATCTATAAGAAACAACCAATCATTTTCATTTGCTTGGCGAGCAGGTAACCGTTTTGCCGACTTCAACACGCCCATTTTTTCTAGAGTGTAAGCGCCGTGAGCGGTGGATTCAGGATTCGGGTGGATTGGAGACTGGAGACTGGAGTGGAGGTATGTAGCTGTGAGCTGTGAAGAGCTTAGGGCATTGCTGTGGGTGGTTGGTGGCGTGACGGCGTGCTATAGTTTTCCGTGTGGGTGTCGCATTCCTGACTTTCCTCCTCAATCTTGAAGCAAAATTACAGTAACTATATAAATAATCGTACGCTTGGGATTCAAGGTAGATGGTTGCGATGCTCACACGTGACGCGTAAAGACCTTTTACGCCGTCACGAGCGAAACGGATGTTCATTATAGACACGTTATACGGACTACATTTTGCTCGAAAGCTCGACGACCGAGTGGCGGCGACAACGACGATTACGACAACGACGACGGTGGACAACGGCGACTCGCCGGTCCACGCCCGACGATCGATCTGACTGATTTTTGCGATCCGGTCACCGAAAACTTCCATCATTCCGTCAATAACCGTGTGCCGACCCGTAGGGTGGCGATCGTCCGATAAGGTACGTATCCGTTGAAGCAGCCTGGAGCAATCTCTTGCACAATTTTCGCTGTATCATCATCGGGGTAGCGAAGAGGGCAAGGGAAAGAATTTATATGGATGGTCACGTGGAAATCTTTATTTGTGGATGATGACGCATAGATATTTTGTCTCGCTTTCTTCACGCTTTCCCCTTATCGAGAAGGGACCCCTACGATAATTGCGTAATGATACGCAGGCCTGTTGAAATCGGTCGATTTCTGTTTACTTCGATCGTTCAGTTCAAAGTTCACTGATTAACTGACGTTTTCCGAAGTTAATTGACATTTCCCTGGTTGTTCTCATAATCACTTTAATTATATTTCGCTTTGGGGAAGAAAGTTGCTCTTATTGTTCCTGTTTCATTTATATATATCACTTGATAATACATATTATATGTTTGTATATATTATATGTCCCAAAGTCATTAAAGTGAAAGAATGTTATGATTACTTGTTGAAACATATTGAGATAAAGTATAAGTGTTGTATACTTTATACTTTCATAAAAACTAAAATTATTATTTTTTTTAAATGAAAAACTAAACTATTATTTTTGAATGATTACAGATTGCTTTAGAATTTGTTTTATTTAAAACATTTTTACATGCTTTGTATTTAAAATCTACTTAAAATTATACGTAATAATCATATGTTATTTACATATAATCACTCAACAGTCTGGATATTTCTATTACAGAATTCTATAATATAACGTAAATACAAGAATTTGGTAATCTCAACATTAAATCATTGATTGAAATAAGAAATATATGTGAAAATTTACATTTGTTAAATTTTGTTTAAGAAAAATATTGATGAACACAAACAAATATACATACAGAGATCACAGTATGTCAAAGTTTACAAGAAATGCTTGACTAATACTGTCTTGCTTCTTCAATTAACAATAAGAGGATGAGATTTTTTGCAATCAATAAAATGAAGTTATCGAGGATAACTTCATTTTAAAACTTTTTACAGTGCGTTGTTTAAGGTTTTTGCACTTGTATTTATAATTTTGCTTATCACAGCTTAGATATATTCAATTGAATTCGAATCTAGTGATTGAAGAGGGGAATGCAATGATAAGCTGTATCTTAAAGAAACCATTTCTTTAACAACGCAAGCAGTCGATTATTTTATTAAAGTTTATTCGAAGTTTATTTTAAATTGAGATTTTAGAATGAAATTTGTATTTATATTTAAAAAGTATTTTTTAATTAATGATGTTAGATGTATATTTATGTGAGGATACTTTTATTTTATTTTTTTCATAATTTTTCTTGAAAATACACTGTGCTTTTGTGAAAAAATTTAGGAGAATTTTATGTTTTTATGAAAATATAAACAATCCTATAATCATTTACATTTTGTGATTCTTTTTGAATTTATATGTAACTTTGGAATATATGTATTTATATAAGCAATTTTGTAAACAATGTTTCAGTATTAAATTTTTTTTTAGTTTACAAACTTCGAAGTAATAATAAAATAGCAAAATGTAATTTCTAAAAATAAATTATATATATATATATATATAAATTTAGAAATATTTTATTTTTTAGATATACTTTTTTTTTATTTAATCATAAAGTAAAGAATAAATCTCGAATATGGAAGAGAGATTAATTTTATTAATCTAACTCATCTTATAATTTTTACGTATATTTTTTTATAAACTAATTATTATTAAAGTATATAAATCGCATATTATTGTTATTAAAACATGTTATCCTTATAACTTATGTGAAAACTTTTAATCTATAACGATGATAAAACGTGTTTTTCAAATTCTTTCATTTGTTTCGCACCACGTGTTTTAACATCAATGTCTGTAGAATGGCCAGTAGTCGTTGACTCATATCTTAAAACTGTACTATCTTATTCAGACCAGTATTTCCTCTTCAAACCAGCGGAAGCCGTTGTTATTGTTATGTAAGAACTCTCCTTTGTATGAGTTTGCTTGATGAAACAAGAAATTATTAATCTCAACTATACTTTTATATATAATTGAATATTATCACATGTTTTTCAGTGTTAGAAAGCAAAAATTTAAGTTGCCCCTGTTTATTTTACGAGGACATGTATGAAAAAGTTTCTAGTATATACAAAACAACATTTCAAAAGACAATTTCATAACTTAATATTTATTGTGGATATATACTTTATATTCATATTAAAATTCAATAAACTTTATTCTAGAATTATGTAATATCCTAAGATATTTATCTGAGAAATGTATATATAAGTTTTTGTTTCGTGCATTATTTCGTGTATACAATAATATTTACTTTTGATGAATTTTTGAAAAGTTATTTTTAACAATGTATTAAAGATACATATTTTTTTATATATAATATAATGTGTCAATCATTGATATAGTACTTCAAATCGATAATCAATCACGTTACATAGATTAATATGACGGTATTTCCCGCCCTCAACTGGAGTTTGACTCTTGAGTAACATTTATATTATCCTTCCAGTCTAATTCGGCTTCCTGATGAACCATCTTGGTTGTCAGATAATTTTGTATAAGTAAACTTGGT